CCAGTCATTGCTTTACATAGTACAGCAATGAAACATGCCATTTTAATTTAATAAGCTTTGCTAATTAAAGTGGAGTTATGGTCACTCTAGTATAGACAATGTCCCTGTCTGTTTTCAGTGAAACATTTTGACGACTGGTAAATAAGACACAAAATATCGCTTGATCAAGCTGCAATGTAGAAACATGCAATCATAATGTTTTGGTATTTTTTATATTTTCTATTTCTTAATTGCCTTTTGCACATGACTCAATTCAGAAAGTGTGAGTTTTGGACTGAGATTAATTTATCCCTGCTCCTACAGCAGAGCAGAAGGATTTAGAAGGACAAACTAGTTTGTACATTTTTCTATCCCTTAACAATGGCACATTATCAATACGTCAAGAGTGGTTCTATACTTACCATTGACAAGAACAGAAGAATAATTTTCTTTAACTCTTTCTCTTCTGGGATATAAAGAATTTACATATGGTTTTAAATATTCTCAAAATATATTCATCAATAGTGCAGTGCAAAAGTGGCTAATCGTGCTCATGTGTTGTGCTTTCCCTCAGTCTTTCCAACACTGACTTAGAATATTGGAAGACAATTCTCCAATGCCATTAATCACACAATCAATGTAAAAATTAAAATATATTGAAAAATCATTGAGAAATACTATTATAGGCTGATGTGTTGGGGGATGGCAAAACTAGTTATGCCTGGTTTCAGACTAAAACTACTACAAGTACAACAGCCAACCAAACTACCCGTTACTGAATGCTCTAATCAAGCTAGGAACCTGTTGGGTGTCATCCAATGTTGTCTTTTCATGCAGGGACGTTCTTTTGACGGACTTAATATTCTGGATTTCACCAACCACAATATCTATGTTATAAGGAAGTCATATGCCATTGTTCTATTTCTGAACTATTGTTTGTCTCGTGCTACTGTTAGTGACTCACTTGCATTGATTGAGGCAATGCAGTCAGAGCGTAATACTTTTGTCAGCTGTGAACCATTCAATAAGTAGGTCCTGCTTTTTTTTTTTGCCTCTAAAAGGAATTGGGAATCATTTGTGATCGATCTGGATTGACAGTCATTTCCTTAAACCTTTCACTTTAAATTCTTCTCTTTGAAAAAGAACAACGGTATGATTACCAAGCACATAAATACAGATAGGTTTAAACAGAAATGTTATATATAGGCTGCTAGGTTATAAAACAATAAATTATGTAAATTAACACAATTATTCATCACGTAACAAAGTATTGGGGTATGAAAAAATGTTGAGATTATGTGAAATGCATCTTGTTACAATATTTCTGAAATATTAACATTGTAAAAGATAAAATATTTTTTGGTGCATACAATAAGGTAATAAAACCGCTACAATATTAAAGTTAATGCCATTTTATGGGACATAAGGAGAACTCTTTATAAAAACAATTAGAGCATGCATTCCTTCCTGGCCTTTGGGGATATCAGAGATGAATGTATAGAATTTGAGAATTTATACGATAAACATGTTGAAATGTATTTTTTTTTTAATTACATTTAAAAAAAAAAAAAAACACAATGGTGTTCCTGTGACTTGATGCATTAACCTCCTGGCCTATGGGGATATCAGAGCTGAAGAGCTGAATGTATAGAATTTGAGAATTCATACGATGAACAACATGTTGAATTTTTTTTTTTTTTATTAAAAAATAAAAAAAAAATGGTGTTCCTGTGACTTCATAAATGCATACAAATAAAAAACATGGCAGGATTTACAATATAACATCCTTGTGAGATATTTTATTTGCATTTGTATTACACAGCCATTTTAGAATGATTATGCTCACCCCACGTGTGTCCTGCTAAAGCTTTGGAAGTGTGTATAGGGATCATTAGAATATTCCTTTCATTAGAGATATTGCCTTTTAGCTAAAATCAGCAAGCTGGATTGTTAGTGTATGACTCACCTAAGAGGTTTGCGTTGACTTTGACATCTGAACCATGCCTATCACTGCCCCATTACTGCTTGGGTTAGTTAACCAGGGCAGAAATGGCCTAGCTCACCGTTTGCGTTGACTTTGACATCTGAACCATGCCTATCACTGCCCCATTACTGCTTGGGTTAGTTAACCAGGGCTGAGGATCCTAGCTCACCGTTAAACTGTAAGTAAAATGTTTATCATGAACAGGGGGACAGCGCCAGGGCACTTGAGTCATCTTAACCATATCAAAGAGCAGGGCTGCCATCAGAAATTTTGGGGTCCCTGACAAAGCACAAGGTCTGGACCCCCTCCATCCTGGGCCCACCCACACCCTACCTAGTCCGCTGACAATGATGCAGGACTGAATGTGGTGTGTATAGTGGAAGTGAATTAGAATGGATGTAATGGATGTAGTGTTTGTGTGTATTAGATACTGTTTGTGCAGTGAATGCAGAGTGTGTGTTTGTGTAGCTGATGCAGTGTGTATAGTGAACGCAGAGTGTGTTTGAGTAGTGGATGTAGTGTATGTATAGTGATGTAGTGTGTGTTTGTGTAGTGGATGTAGTGTTTGTATGTACTAGATGAAATGTGTTTAGTGGATGCAGTGTATGTAGTGTGTGTATTAGACTCAGTGTCTGTGTATAGTGAATGCAGAGTGTTTCAATTTGTGGTGGATGTAGTGTGTGTACTGTGAATACAGGATGTTTGTGTAGTGGATGCTGTGTGTACAGTTAATGCAGAGTGTATGTTAGCGTAGTGAATGCAGAGTGTGTGTCAGTATAGTGAATCCAGAGTGTGTGCATAGTTTAGTGAATGCAGAGTGTGTGTTAGTGTGTAATGAATGCAGAGTGTGTGTTAGTGTGCAGTGAATGCAGTACGTGTGTAAATGTGTAGTGAATGCAGAGAGTGTGTTAGTGTGTAGCGGATGCAGTACGTGTGTAAATGTGTAGTGAATGCAGAGAGTGTGTTAGTGTGTAGCGGATGCAGAGCGTGTGTTAGTGTAGTGAATGCAGTGAGTGTGTTAGTGTGTAGTGTATGCAGAGTGTATGTTGTATTAGTGTATGCAGTGTGTGTGTTGTATTAGTGTATGCAGAGTGTGTGTTGTGTTAGTGTATGCAGAGTGAGTGTGTGTTGTGTTAGTGTATGCAAAGTGTGTGTTGTGTTAGTGTATGCAGTGTGTGTGTTGTGTTAGTGTATATTAAATTAATTAAATGTTTCTCCCACCTCCCTGCTTCTTACCTGTGTCCAGGGAGGGGGGAGATTCCATCCCTGGTGGTCCGGTGGCATGGGGGCCCCCCCGGCTCCCTGTTACTGCAGAGGGGGCCCAGCCTACTGTCTTTTCTCTTCTCTTCTCCTCTCTTCTAATAACTCTCACGAGACCCACGGAGCGTTGCCATGGTAACCGGGTCTGGCGAGAGTTATTAGAAGAGAGTAAAAGCTGTGTGCTGGGCCGCCTCTGCGGTAACAGGGAGCCGGGAGCCCGCGGCTGCACACATAGATAGCGATATTCGCTATCTATGTGTGCAGAGAAGGAAAGTGGGGCCCGGGACTGCCAGAGCAGTCTGGGCCCCCCAGGACCGCCGGGCCCGTGACAACCATCATGGTTGTCACCCCCTGATGGCGGCCCTGTCAAAGAGTGGGCATGATTCATTTTTCACTGTAAAAATATTGTCAATGAATGTGATGTATGTAGCAGATGCATGGAATGGTTACCCAGAACAGATGCCATGATAGATTCATGAGGTGTACTGTACCTGAGAAGCAATGGGATAAATCTTGAGATTGTCTGGAAAATACCATGAAATGGTACAGCAATTAAGGCATGTTTTATTTCCTGCTTGTGAACCAAATAGTTTAGAGGAATTATAACCCGTTTCTATGGGGGAGTGCCTTCTATCACCGGGGCTTTAGTAGATAAGCTACCAGGGGTGATGCTGAGAAACAACACAATTGCCTATATATTGTAAGTTCCATTAAAGGTCATTGACCTTAAAGTTGTGGAAGCAAATTTAGATGCTATTTCATTTGGGGGCATTATGAAATGTCTGATAGTAAATGAATTGTCAGGATTCACCTAGTCCTAATTGAAAGTACCAGATTACAAAGAAATAAACACATCTATATAAATATATCACATGATGCATTTAAACCAGGGTTTGGAATACATTAATTGCCCCCTGTAAAACTTTAATTCCTACACCACCTGCCCCATCCTATAGCCTGAGATGAGCACAAAAAGTAAGCACACACCTAGTTAAGGGCCATTCTTACCTTCATAACCACTGCTCTCCATTGAAGTGGTTATAGTGCCTGGAGTCCCAATGAAGTTCTGATAATTGCACTTTAGTAAATAATTGACTGTTACGTGAACATATATCTAAGAAACTGTTTATTGTTTAAAATGTATTTACACAGAAATGAAAAAAAACAAAACAGGTAAATTCCTGGTAATCTGGGTGTTGCTAATAGAGTGACAGAGTAAAGAACACATGGGAGATTCAGATTACATGTAGTTATTAAATTTAGACAGTATATGACATAATCAGAAAATACTACTTATTGATTACCTCTGTGAACAGTAGTGTTCACGGACATCTCACTGCTGGTTCACAGAATAGCTACATTACAAATGCTGGCAAAATCAGTTTTTACACGTGTAGAAAAATATTAAAAGGAAAAAATGTCCAGTACAGGCCTATACTTGAAAATAAAATCTGACAGAAATGCTATGACCTTGAGCAAATCACTTTAGGCACTGTACAGATTGCATTAAAATACCTTTATTTTTTTTCCTTACAGGTGTTGTAGACGTGTTGATGTTTCATTGATATGAAGATCATTTTTTTTCAATGAATGCTGTTACAATTTTTAGTTTTCTACCTAAACCAGAGGTGTCCAAAGGTAGACCTCAGCTGTCAGTGGCGTACACACAATCCATGGAGCCCCCGTACGAAACTGATCCGTGGCCCCCCATTCTCCCACCACCCCCCTCCCTATTCGCCCCCCGACAGACACACACATATACATAGACAGTCACACACACACACATAAATACAGACCGACACACACATACATACAGACAAGCACACACATACAGGCAGACACACACACACATTCATACACAGACAGGCACACATACAAACAGACACACATACATACATACATACAAACACACACACACAATATTTAAGTCACCCTCCTGTTTCCTACCTTTTAGGTGCAGGAGGGTGACTGGGGTCCAGTGGTGGCTCAGGTGGATGGGAGTCAGAGTTCCCACTCTGACTCCCTGGTCTTCCTCCCACGCGGGCTCTCAGTAATAGCTGGGAGGAGTGACATGCCGTCACTTCCTCCCAGCGTGTGATGTAATCAAAGGGGGTCCGGTCGCGCTGTTGAAGCGCCCAGCGCTGACCGGGCCCCCTTACAATCCATATCTATCGGGTGGCCCTGACAGCATGGGCCACCCGATGGACCCCTTGGACGGCGGCCCCAGCGGTTTGCCGCGCGGGCCGGGGCTGCAAAAGATAATGGCAGGTACCTGGTCGCAGGGGTCCGCAGGGCAGCCGGGCCCCCTGGAGTGACGGGCGTGGTCGCAGCTGCGACTCCTGCGACTGCGGTATGTACGTCAGTGTCAGCTGTTGTTAAACTACAAGGCTCAGGCTGATGATGTGTCAAATGAGTTATGGGTCTGACACAATGCAGATTAAATTAATGGTAGAGAATTAAAATTAATAGATATGGACTGTTCGGACATCCAGGCATACAATATAAATAATAAAAAATGAACAAAAATGTAGGAATATTGACTGGATTAGGTAGGTACTAATTGACTGGATTAGGTTGGTGCTAGATGCAGTTCTGGTGGCGTGTTGAACCTAAATTTATCAAAATCTGCACACTCTTTTTATAATAAAATACTGGGTAATATACTTTTTTAACAAGATCATTTCTCTGATAAATGTATTAATTCTGACAAAACTTTGACTTTCTGCTCTTTCTCTCTTTTTTTTGCTAGCTCCGATTTTAGCCTATTACTATTTTCTGTATACAGTTGGATTTACTCATTAAAATGAATAATCCAAAAATTAGTTTAGTAGATATACTCCCAATGAAAACATACATGCATTTTTTTAATTAAAATTGGGTTATACCTAAAAACATCCTGCAAAAGCTGCATATCTATTGTCTGCACCCTTTGCAATCCCTTCCCTTCTAACCCCGCCCAGACTTTCTGTGACTGCCCAATCACAGACTTCCTAATAAAAGAAGTGTTTGCAAGGCAGGTGCTCTGGGCAATTGCTGCCTCGTGCGTTTAGCTCCACTGAGCTAACACAACCAGGAAGAACACAACCTCTGGCATCAATCGAATAACCATTTTTAAAATAAACCTGCACTTTTTGTAAAATGGGAAACAGAGGACCCACTCCTAAAACACTTCTGCAAGCTAAGCTGCATCGTCGCTTTACATCCCTTTTAGTGAACTGAAACCAAATTGCAAAATGTAGATGACAAAAGCAGAATTTGAAAAACTCTTCAAGCTATAGTCAGTAAATGATTTTAGTGTAGGTTTTGCAATTTCTTTTAGTCAATTCACTGCATTTCAGTATTTAGGGTATAAGCCCTATTATTTTTAGCCAGGTTACCTTGTAATATTATAGTTATGCTGTATAGCACTTGCATATGATTTTGTGAAATTACATATGGTGAATCTTCCAAGACTCGGTTATAATATGTACCTGCAACAACAAAAAATGTAACTACTCACAAATAAGTTATTTACCTGTGAACTCCTACTAAGAATGTTGGACCACACTGTAGATTCGGATTTGCTACCAGTAGCGTATTGACAATATCTAACTGTGTTTTCATATTCACACTCTTCTTATTTCTCTCCCCTCCCCTCCCGTAATGCTTACATTTCTTTCAGAGCATAAGTGCTTACTAGACTTGTATTTGGATTAACTAAATCATCCAAGAATAGTGATGTCCCGAACGGTTTGCCGAACGGTTCGCCGCGGAAGGCGGACATAAACATAAACTTTGACCCTGTTCCTCACAGTCAGCAGACACATTCCAGACAATCAGCAGCAGACCCTCACTCCCACCTCCTGAACAGCTCACTAAGCATGCAGCTTCACAATGAATGTCAAATGGATGCTGTCCAGGAGGTGGGAGGGTCGGGGGGGGGGTCTGCTGATGATTGGCTGGAATGTGTCTGCTGACTGTGAGGTACAGGGTCAAAGTTTATGTTTATGTTCGCCGTCCGTGGCGAACCGTTCGGGACATCACTATCCAAGAATAATCTGTGGACCTATATTCACTGAATAAAACTCCACAGGTAAATCCCAGACGGATTGATTCTTCCAGATATGGATTAAAAGGCATTTGATTCAGACAAACTGGTCCAAATTAACCACTGCACAAATCTAGTAAGCACTTTCTTACTAGCAGTGCACTACACTGTAATAGACAGAGGGTATGTATCATGGTTGTGTGATAACCCAACACACAGTATGTAAACCCACAGAAAACCCAAGCATGCATTACCGAACCTTAGAATAGTCAGGATTAAAGGTCCACTATAGTGCCAGGAAAACAAACTAATTTTTCTGGCACTATAGTGCCCTGAGGGTGCCTCCACCCTCAGGGACCCCCTCCCGCCAGGCTGGATGGAGAGAAAGGAGTTAAACTTACCTCTTTCTCCAGCGCCGGGCGGAGAGCTCTCCTCCTCCTCTTCGGCTGAATGCTCATGCGCGCATTCAGCCAGTCTCATAGGAAAGCATTTCCTATGGACGCTGGCGTCTTCTCACTGTGATTTTTCACAGTGAGAAGCACGCAAACGCCTCTAGCGGCTGTCAAGAGGCTATTATATTATAAACATAGCAGTTTCTCTAGTAACCCTAGCTGGACCTGGCAACCAGACCACTTGATTAAGCTGAAGTGGTCTGGGTGCCTATAGTGGTCCTTTAACGTAGGTAGAAAAGATTAGTCAAGGGATTGCCAAAAATCAGGATATCGGAAATCAGGAAAACGATACAAGAATAGCCGGGTCAGGACACCAGAAATCAGAGAGTAAAAATAGAAGCAGAGTCAGGGGAACAGAGAAGTCTAAAGCCAAACTGAGTCAAAACACAGAAATAACAATATAAATCACAAGGAGAACCAAATAGCACTAAGGGGAACACAAGAAACCAAAATAGGGCAAGGAACAAAGCAAAAAGCGCCCTTTTTATAAGGGAGCTTCTTTTGCTTTGAGGCCACGCCCCAAAAACATTCTGGGCCGGTATTGATGACGTGGGACTGCATCATTGGAGTGACTCCAGCGTGTACTATGCCGATCTTGTTGGGAGAGGAGTCTGCCCTGGATCCTGCACCACGTGGGTGCGATGGAACAAGGTCAGAGATGGTGACAGTATGAAATACAGCTAACAAATAAACAACTGGATGGAGATCTGTACTGCCACTGGCTGCTCTACCACTAGTCTTTTCCTCACTCCTTTATGTCATGTGCCAACTGTCCCTTTTTTATCTGGATTGTACAGCATTTTGGGTTCCTCTCCTGTCAAAACTGGGTCCAAGAGATGTGCCACATTCTGAAATCTGTCCAGCAGTTTGGCTATTAAACTTACGTGCCAGGCAAACTTCTGAAAGCAGCAGACAGGGTCCTGGCATGAAACACAGGACAAGGAATTAGGACCACAAACACAGCACATCAGCAGCGCTTTCTGTGCATGATCTGCCCTAAGAGGGCAATCCAGGGATGGAGACTTTCGGTAAGCCTGGCGAGCATACACACCAGGCTTTTTACGTTATGGGTGGACTTGCCCCCTTATTGTCACTCACCTTCAGTCCTTGCTCACAAACACTCGTAGTTGGCATGTATACCATACACTACCTGGTATTGATCATGAGGGACAAGGTTTTCATATCCACGGCTCAAAATGTCCACTCGCCAATAGCCATTGGTGAATATTAGCCATAGGTTTTAATTTAATTTTCAGTGGGATTAAAAAAACTGACATCCAAGAGGCAAAAAATTTATGACAACTGGCCTGTTTAAAAAAAAAAAAGTAGCTGGGAGCCGTAATGGTACCTGTAGTTACGTTCACAAAACTGTAAAATGCTCATCTAACCTGCTGAATGGAATTACTGGAATAACCCATAAACTCTATGGCAAATTCTGATAAAGTGTATTTTTTAAAATAAGTTATTAAAATCTACTCTCCATTTCTTACATCACTTGAACAGACATATTTTCTGAATGAGTTTTTAAAAAGAAAATAAACATCAGTGAAAGTTACATTCTATCCAGTAAAGGATATCCTGCATATATATTACACCTCGATTTTTCTTTAGAGACAGGTTTCCTGCACCTTTCATATTTCAATATAAAGACGCATATGTTCACTGCAATGGGTTTTGCTGAATTGTGTTATTTGATACGGCTGGCCGCCCTCTCTCCTATTTATACCTGCAGTACTCATAATTCCTGTGCATTGGTAGTGCAGTATCAATTCTATTATGCCTGAATGTACACGGTGCCTTTGTTGCTCCCAGAAGTCATTACATACAAGTAGGGACTATAACCTACAAAATTATGTGTGCTGTATATTCCGAGAACAATATGATATCAGTTGTAAAAGAAAATTTGGGTGGGGAGATTCTGTTGAGAAAGAATTGAGTCTGTTGTATTCCGATAAAAGCTTTGAAGAATTAAACAAAACAGTCTTTGCGTATCGATGAGAGCCATCTTCCTGCTGTTGACAGATGTTTTTCTTGTACTGATACAGTCACACTGCTAACACAAATAATACTCTTAAAGGACAAAGGATGCTATCGGAGATATTGTTCTTGATCTTCTTCACAGATGCCAACCCATTCCTCTTGTTTCTCGTCTGTGTCTGGAAGGTCTTTCCATAGCAACAAGCCAGTACCTAAAGAAGAAACAATAGTAAAAATTCAGAATCTTAACCCCTTAAGGACACATGACATGTATGGCATGTCATGATTCCCTTTTATTACAGAAGTTTCATCCTTAAGGGGTTAAACAAACAAAAAACACCCACTGGCTTATTAGCTGAATAAGCAATTGTGAAGAACTTACAAGAACATTTAAAAAAATGTTCTTAAACAGTTTAACTCCACAGTTGCCTCCAGCGGCAGTGTCCACTGACCCTACAGGCGGCATCCAACTTCTGAATTTTCAGATTCAGGAAGCGTGGAGTGTCACTGAGCAGGGGCACCACTGATTGGCTGAGAGGGGTCAGCAGATGCTCTCAGTCAATCACTCTATTCACTAAACTGGCTTGGAAAGAAACTTACCTTTTCTAAGCCAGTCTAGAGAACGCTAGATCCCCTTGAGCTAAGAGTGCCCCCCGATGCTTGGAGTATCCCTTCAAGTAAAAAGAATATTAAAACTAATGGAATTAACAGATCCCTTTAATGTGCTAAAATAAGCTGTGCTGGCTGGTTTGTTTATATGGGACAATGGAAAAGATTTTATTTATATATATATATATATATATATATATATAATTTCATAACTTAATCCTGTTTGTAGGATTAGGAAACATCATTATGTGCTTACTGGTAATGTTGAAGTC